TATATAGCCATGACATCAGACAATAAAATAGTTCTAAACATTATTTTATGTAACTGTTCTACTTTACTTTAGAGATACTCTTATCCAAAGCCACTTACAATGGTACGCGAATTACAGCTGATAAATTTGATCTAAAACTTCCTCAGATTTTCACACAAGTTCTAAAGTAGATAAAGAGAACCAAATTCGACAAATGAGACAAAAATATTAGACTTGCTTATTTATCTACTGAGGAAAATGATCCAATATTACATATCTATGAGTGGCAAAAGTATGAATCTTTAGGATTAGCAGATAATTTGAAGGTGAAATTAGAGTCAGGTGTTTTCAATCAGGGCAGCACGGTGGCGCAGTGGGTAGCGCTGTTGCCTCACAGCAAGAATGGCCTGGGTTCGATTCCCAGCTGGGCGACCAGGGTCCTTTCTGTGGGGAGTTTGCCTGTTCTCCCCGTGTCTGCGTGGGTTTCCTCCGGGTACTCCGGTTTCCTCCCACAGTCCAAAAACATGCAGTCAGGCTGATTGGACGTGCTAAAATTGCCCCTAGGTGTGAGTGAGTGTGTGATTGTGTATGTCTGTCTGTCTGTCTGTCTGCCCTGCGATGGACTGGCAACCTGTCCAGGGTGTATCCTGCCTTCCGCCCAATGACAGCTGGGATAGGCTCCAGCACCCCACCGCGACCCAGAAGGATAAGTGGTTTAGATGATGTATGTATGTATGTTTTCAATCAATGGGATGACAATCAGGTGTGAGTGACCACCCTGTTTTATTTAAAGAACTGGGATCTGTCACAGTCTGATCTTCATAATACATGTTCGTGGAAGTGTATCATGACATGAACAAAGGAGATTTCTGAGGACCTCAGAAGAAGAGTTGTTGATGCTCATCAGACTAGAAAAGGTTATAAAACCATTGCTAAAGAGTTTGGACTCCATCAGTCCATGGTCAGACAGGTCGTGTACAAATGGAGGAAATTCAAGACCACTGTTACACTCCCCAGGAGCGGTGGACCAACAAAGATCACACCAAGAGTAAGGCGTGTTATAGTCTGTGAGGTCATAAAAGAACCCAGGGTGGATTAAATGAGAAGCTTTATGTTTGGAGAAAGAAAAACACTGCATTCCAGCATAAAAACCTTATCCCATCTGTGAAGCATGGTGATGGAAGTATCATGGTTTGGGCCTGTTTTGCTGCATCTGGGCCATTGATGGAACAATGAACTCTGAATTATACCAGCAAATTCTAAAGAGAAATGTCAGGACATCTGTCGGTGCGCTGAAACTCAAGAGAACATGGGTCATGCAGCAAGACAATGACCAAAGAATGATTAAAGAAGAATAAAGTTGATGTTTTGGAATGGCCAAGTCAAAGTCCTGACCTTAATCCTATAGAAATGTTGTGGAAGAACCCAAAGCAAGCAGTTCATGGGAGGAAACCCACCAGCATAACAAAGTTAAAGTTGTTTTGTATGAAGAAATAGGCTAAAACCCCACAAAGCTGACGTGCAGTTACCGTAAACATCACATACACTTGCCACTCATAGATATGTAATATTAGATCACTTTCCTCAATAAATAAATTACCAAGTCTTATATTTTTGTCTCATTTGTTTAATTTCGTTCTCTTTATCTACCATTAGGACTTCATTTATGGTCGCAGAAATAGTTTAATTAGTTTAATGTTTGGAAATTGTAAAGTTTTTTGACAACAAGTTGATTTTTTTTCTTTTGACTTTAAAGCACATCAAGTCCTTCTTTTATTTAACACAAGAACATGGGAAGAAAATGCAGGGGAAAAAGAAGTGGATTCGGCAGCATTTACACTTTTCTTTTAGCAAGCGTGACTGGAAGATTCAGACACATAGCACGAGGAGTTAAATTTTTTACAACTGCTTATTGTCCCGGACCTAATACATTTTGCATAAGTCTCAGTCCTAGAAATTAATGTTAATATTAAAGAGCTAAGCCTGTTACAATTATTACATAATTGTCTGATCACAATGATTTGAGCTGATTACAATTATTTAAGCTGACCACAATTATTTTCCACAGTTGTTACCTTTAACAACCACGTTTATGTTGCAACAAATAAAGTAATAACTGAGTTGATGTAAATGCGTATTTCAAAAAAAAAGAAAAACAAGAAAACGTTTATGGAGACACAACTTCTGAATGGTCCTAAAACCTAAAACAACTTTAGAGGGCAACAGTGAGTAAGGCTGGTTTGTTTGAGCTTGAGCTGTGTGGGAGGAAAAGAGCAAGACAGCTAATCGGTCAGCCACTTTAGGCTCTTTAGGCTCTTTATACTCTGAAAGATGCATACAATAAACAAAAAAGACAACTGTTAATCACAGACCTATTATTATGCTTTTCCAGAGAGATCTGTCCACACAAGATTTGAATACAGTGCAACACATCATGGTTTTGACCCTCATCCTGACAGAACAGTTTTACACTATTATGCCATGACCCAGATGAGCATCAGCTCTAGGGCTAGTGAAGAGGAAAGGGAACGAGCGCGATGGTGCAAAAGAGGCTGCTGTAGTGGTCCTAAACTACTACTTTATCAAACTGCTGTTCTAATGTGCTATTTGCGCTCCAATTGAGCTGAAAAACATTATCTCATATCAAATCTAAACCACAAAACCATTTAAAGGCCTGTGAGAAATGCACAAGAAGGAAACCACACATCAAATCACTTGAGCTTCATGTTATCCCCTTTTTATATTTGCACTCCACGATTTTCTCCATGGCCACAACCTTCAACAATTTAATGTATTTCCTCAATCATCTCAACTCAACGCTTCAATAACCCAGGTCTTCTCCATCACCCCGACTCTCACCACTTTAATATATTTTGTAATATCGCTCACAGGGTACTTCTCTGATTGCAGAATTTGCTCTAGTTCAGCGGTCACCAACCCTGGTCCTGGAGATCTATCTTCCTGTGGAGCCTAGTTCCAAACACTATTTGCTACACCTGCTCCAGCTAATTAACTTCTTCTGAAGTCCCTGATTGGCTGCATCAGATGCATTAGTGTTTGATAAGTAGGGTAGTAAGTTAGATGCAGGCTGAAACTAAACTCTGCAGCAAAGCAGACCTCCAGGAGGAAGGTTGGTGACTACTGCTCTAAATGTCCTCTGAATTAAATTCATGGCCCGTGTGAGGCCTGCCATTGTGAAATGTTCTATGTGGCCTCACAAATGCCCTTGACAGCTCCATCAACCTAGGCCAAGACAAGGCTGTCAGGCTAGCGCTGTAGATGTCTACGCTCCATCGGCCACCGCCAGTGACCTGACCTGCATCAACTGTGTCCTGCAGTCCACCAAAGGCAGAGCTGCTCAGCCTTGTGACAAAATGAAGAGAGGTGAGAGGAAGTGCGTTAAAAGCACAGATGAAAGGATGTGTAAAACTGTCCAATTTTCTTGATCATTATTCTTTCATTTCATAATGCGCTCTCAGCCGCCTTCGTGCAAAATCCGTTTGGCATTCCGAGATGTTTAACCTTGCTGGTGATTTTGGCCTCTTTGACTGGGAGACAATCATATTCATTAGAGCTGACATTTCTGGGTCACAGTCAAGGCAATGTGAGTGAGTAAATTATGCTGCACCTTTCTGAGAAAATAAATGTTTACTTGGCACCAGCACCAAACCTCTAAGTATGGGTCTTAGAAGCTTAATAAAATGTGTCGACATAAATAATAGATTGATTTTAGCTTACAGGGAAAACGGATCCAGAGGGAATACGTGTATTTGTTGGGGATTTTTTTGTGACCAGAGAGACAAAAGTGCTGGCATGATGATGCAATGATGGAATTTCCAGATCAAATTCCACTGACACACTCCTCAAGGGGGTTTTCAGTCCAGTCTAGTTCAAGCTCCCAACATGCCTCAGCCAGGTAATAAAGGGGCTGCACAAGGCTGATTACCTGCCTCAGGTGTGTTAGGAAATGGAACACAAGAAAAATTTGGACTGGCTGAGAGGGTTCCTGAGGAGTGCAGTGGAAAAAAACCTTCATAACGTTATTTGTGGCTCTTTGCATTCTGGACAAATCGATAAAAAGATGTCTATCAATAACAGCCACCAAACCAGGTGTGACTGTACACTAACGGTACCTTTCAGGATGCAAGGGTACCCTCAGGCTTTCAGGGTACCCTCAACGGTATGTCTTCAGCACCTTTTAGTCAGCATGGCCAGAACTACAATACGGGTGACCTGAGTGACTGCCCATGGGCACCAAAATGCTGCTCAAAATGATTTTAATCTGTTATAACGCTCATCTAGTTTCAAACTTAGAATTCAGCCATATCCAAAAAGCATCTGATGCCCTCTCCTGAACAATCTTGACAAGGTCTTAGCTGAGGAGTTCAGATTGTTAGATTTTTTTTTTTGTGAAGAATCAATAGAGTCTTAAGCAACACAGACCTTTTCAGCAATTGGGTTATTTCAGTGGGTTTTTGGGGGATAGGGCACTGTAGCTATATTGTCCAGAGGCACCCATCTTAATCTGGCCCTGAGTTTGGGAACATAATTGTCCCACATTCTGTTGCTATAAGTTTGGAGCACTGACTCCATTCACCCCTCTTGACTAAAGTTCTGATAATGTATCATTTAAATATGCCCCATTTCCTCTGGGAACGTGAATGTACTGTACCTTTAAAACTAATTTCAGGTACACAATTGGACCTTAAGGACCATGTCGCACCTTGAGGGACTAATTTAGGCTACCTGAACAGTAAGCTACTCTTTTTTTTATTTTTTTTATTGATGGTGTAGGTAACATTAGACTACAGAGTAATTAGCTTACCTTCCAGAGCGCTACGTGGCTTAGCAATGTGGAGGGCACTGAGGTAAAAACGGACAGTAAAAGTGTGTAGAAGCTGCTGCCCATTTTGTAATTGGGCTTTAATTACGTTCGTGGACCACAAACGAACAAAATATAATAAATACTTCATATTATAGAACTTTTCTTCTTATTTCCACACGACAGCCGTTAGCCTAACCTGAGGCAGCGCCGAGTTGATCTGTCTCTGCAGCGCGTCCCTCTCGTGCAGCGCGTCCTGAAGCTTGGCCTGTGATTGGAGGAGCGCTTCTTGGGTCTCGCGCAGAGATTCCAGAAGCTTGTCCCTCTCGTCCAGCATGTTGACCATCAGCTGCTCGAAATTGGACTCCGGGTCCGAGCCGTTCTGAGACCCTCTCTGGGAACTCACCGAGTCCCCCTCGTTAATCGTGGGCATCACTTCGCACATCATATTTGCTGACGGCTCAACGCAAAAAAGTCTCAGTGGAAAGTAATCCTGTCAGAACAGACGCTTCGGTTAGCACAGTTAACTCTGAGCATCACGCCCTTATGGCATTACGTGGCATCGTAACGACAACTGCTGACAACTAAACGCGCCCTCCTGTTTGTTTCTGAACGTGCATAGCCTAGCGTCCAGCGTTTAGCCTCCAATCCCCGACCTTTAGCTATTCCATGTCTGTCGTCTGCCTCCACTCCGCCACTTCTCCACCCAGTTCCTCCAGCTCCGCTCCGCTTCACTTCAAACCCGAACGCGTTTTCGTGGCTCGATCCTGGAACATCTGCAGACCTTCTGCTCCGCTGGGATCTCTTTTACTACGGTTTACCGCCCACCAGTTGCAAATAACATTTCAGTTAGCGGCGTGAGGCACGTCTGCCGCATCCAAATCCCTCTGCCAGTCCCTCTTTCCTTCTCCACGACGAGCCGACCACTCCTCCTTCTCTCCCTCTCGCCTTCTCTCTCTCTCGCTCTACGAGCTCATTCCTGCCGCTGTCACCGCTATCTCCACAACAATGCACGCATATTTCATCGACGGCAGCACAGAGAGAGGCGAAGGTCGCGGACTCGATGCTTCCCGGCTCTCCAGTCAGTGGAAAATGTCATATCCGACCGGCGTTTATGGCATAAATGCTCCAAAAACGGCGGAGTTTCCTCACATCAGCACCACGCGAGCGGTCTACATGACTGTCATGCACAGCAAATGCCTGTCAGCAGTCAGACTGAAACAGTGTCACACGCAGCGCTCCCTGGTGGCCGCTTGCTGTAAATCAGTGTGTCTCAAGTCTGGTCGTGCTACACCCTGCCCTGCACACTGTGGTGGGTTTTTTTTTGTTTTTTTTTTTTTAATTTTTAATTTTTTTTATTTTAGTGTTTTCTAAACACACGTTATCCAACTTATAACACTTAATAGTTAGTCAGCAAGCCATTCTTGAGGTGAAGTGAATGTAACAGTGGGAAAACTCAAACGTGCTGGCCACAGGGAGTACTATTTTTGGGCCCCTGGGAACAGGAGACTTTGGAAGCCCCCAACACTCCAAAAGTAATGTAATATATAAATCACACACACGTGCACACACAAATATACACTGAACAGCCATAACATTAAATCCACATCCTTGTTTTTGCCCTCGTGCTCTATTTTATCAGCTCTACTCACCATATAGGTGCACTTTGTAGTTCTGCGATTACAGACTGTAGTCCATCTGTTTCTCTGCATACTTTGTTAGCCCCCTTTTACCCTGTTCTACAATTATTAGGACCGCCCCAGAGCAGGTATTATTTGAGTGATGGATCATTCTCAGCACTGCGGTGTTACTGACGTGGTGTTAGTGTGTGTTGCGCTGGAATGAGTGGATCAGACACAGCAATGCTGCTGGAGTTTTTGGAGTGTCCACTCACTGTCCACTCTATTAGACACTCCTGCCTTGTTGGTCCACCTTGTAGATGTAAAAGTAGAGTGGATAGCTCATCTGCTGCCTCACAGTTTGTGTTGGTCATCCTCTAGTCCTTCATCAGTGGTCACACGTCGCTGATTGCTGGATATTTTTGGTTGGTGGACCAGCAGTGACACTCAGGTGTTTAAAAACTCCAGCAGCACTGCTGTGTCTGATCCACTTATACCAGTGCAACACACAAACACGCCACCACCACTTCAGTAACACTGCAGTGCTGAAAATGATCCATCACTCAAATAATACCTGCTCTGGGGTGGTCCTGTGGGGGGGGGTCCTGACTGTTGGAGAACAGGGTAAAAGGGGGCTAACAACGTATGTAGGGAAATGTACAGTCTGTAATTGTAAAACTACAAAGTGCACCTATGTGGTAAGAAAAAATGGAGAATGAGCGTAGATACAAGGAGATTAAGGAAGTGGCGGGTCGGTCGGTGTGCGTGAACGTGTGTGAAATGTGAAGTTGTTTTCATGATGGATGTTGGGAAATATCATTGCTATGTTATTATTCATACTACCTTTATTAGAAACATCAAAATGTGGTTTAAATTGTCATTTATTCATTTCAAAAACTTGTCAGTTACAAAATTGTTGAAAGAATTTACATCATTTTGGAATGGAACTCATCATACAGCAATCTACTGAATTAGTTCAAACTAAAAATAACAATGCAGACCATGTATATTTACAATGATTGTTGACTTATTTAAACCCAAGTCATTAATTGAGATAGTATTAAGCTAAATATATACATATTCATAATTTATAGTGCTTATATTGAGAGGGCTGTCCCAAACCCCAACTCCTAAATTTCAAGTTGTGAAAATATTTAAAATATTTGTTTTTTTTTAATGTTGTGCTTTAAGGTATTTTTGATTTGATTTTGATTTTTCAAGTGAAGTTGAAACATTTTGATTTATTGTGAGTTCAATTTTAAAATTAGAGATTTATTCCAAAAATGCTGTTTCATGCTAAAACATTTGGTAAAGTTTCAAAAGTGCCATAACTGTTTTGCTAGTGACAAAATAGAAAGTTCAGTAATTTATTTGAACAAAAAAAAAACATTTAAAGTATAGGGTCATTCAAACAAAAGGATTTTACTTTAGTGTCCAAGTCAGTTTAAAGTCCAAAATGGATTATCACGTTGAGCAGTGCTGGGAGTTTGTTTGTTTGTTTGTTTGTTTGTTTGTTTGTTTGTTTACCTGACAATGAGGCAGAAGATTATGCAAATATAACTTTTATTTATTCGGATTCAACATTATTTTACCATTATCAACATATATATATATATATAAAAATGTGTAAGCTCACTGGTCAATTCGGATAGTAAATAAAATGGCTATATTTACATTATGGCTGTGTTAGACGCTGTAACCTCTGGTTCCCATTACTAGCATTGTAAAGAAATCCGAGCTGGTAAGTAACAGCTCTACTCTTCTGGCACTATTGTTTGGAACATTTGCTGTTGGAATTTGATTTGCATTCATCCTCAAGAGTATTAGTGAGGTCAGGTACAGATAGTTGGATTATTAGTTCTGGAACACAAACTCTCCACTCCAGCTCATCCCGAAGGTATTCAATAGTGCTCCATCTATGCAGTTCCACTGCTCCACAGCCCAGTGCTAGGGGGCTTTATACGGTTCTGGCTGACGTTTGGCACTGATTATGGTAATCTCGGGTTCATGAGCAGATGAACCAGAGCATCCCGTTCTGTAGGCACTGCTATTCTGTGGAGATTATTCAAGCTGTGTTGGCACAACTAAGTCAGCAACGGGTGCCTCTTACAGTAGCTGAATTCCTAATTAGGAGGGCTGTCTGGATAACTTTGGACATTTTTATTATTAGTAGGAAAGCCGGCCACACCTTCAAGCCCCTGTCGCTTTTAAACAAAAATATTCATGACGTAATGCCTTTGAGAATAACCGCTCCTGATTGGTGAACTGAGCTTCGGCTGTCGCGTCTCCGCCAATCGCCGTGGCGTGCGCCGAGCTCTCGTCCAGTTTGAAGTCTCGCGTGAATGCGCGTCGCTCGGCTGGATCAGTTCCATGATGGCTGAAGATCCTGGAGGAGCTTACCGCATTTTCTCTTTCATTTTTCTCCGTTTTTCGCCACCTCTGCTACAGACATGGCAGGGCGCGCAGCCTCGGTAAACGGCCACAGTCTTGCGTCGTCGTCATGCCCAAGAAAGGGAACAGAAAACGGCTGAAATTTCGAGCCGACGATGTTTGCTCGGAGTCAGGTAAGGAACCTGCAGCTATTTGCCCAACACACACAAGCTTTGCTGAGGATGAAAAGCTGACTGCTTTTCCTCAAAGAGTCTACCGTTACATCAAAAACAGTCTGCATAGCCTTAAAGAGATCATTTGTTAATTGAGTTAACGTTCCTGTGACCGATGACGACTTCTTTATTGGTCACAGTGGGTGTAGCTGGCTAGCCAGTTGACCAATTTAGCTAGCTAGCTTGCTATGCTAATGTGACTTTATGGGTGATAAGGCTGGTTGGGTAGCTAACTTTGCCAACTTTTGCGCCGCAGTAACGGTGGCTGACTACGCCAACGCGGATCCTGCTATCGTGAAGTCGGGACGCGTGAAAAAGGCTGTTGCAAATGCAATTGAAAAAGAAGGTAAGCTATTACATCCAAATACACATTTCCAGCTTTTCCTCTGATAAATTACAATGGGAGTACGGCAATAGCTGAAACGAGGGAAATTTAGTAGACCAACTAAAGGGACATTCGGACCTTAAAGAAGTATTGAATGTTTTGTCAGGTTGTGCAGTATTAAATAGTGCAGCACTGCACTACTTAGTCTAATCGGTTTGACAGAATTAGCGATGTTGTATCCTTTTTACGTCCACCGGTGTTTTCTCACTACAATACCCAGCATGCGTTACGTGAATACGTCATACATCGGGAATGCTAGCAGTGCTGACTGCTAGCCTAGCCACTGATGTAGAGACGAACAAATGCAGACAGACGTTATATTTGGCTTCCTAGCAGAAAGGTTAGCCGTCTGGCGTCCTTCTGCATTAGCCAGCTAACGCTAGTGTAAAAGGCAAAACATGAATTTTAAGCAGCCTGCTGTCAAGTATATGCCACCAGGTAGCACTGAAGTCTGTTGAAGGAGGCGACTGTGAATGTTTACAACAGAAGTAACGTTGGTTATACTTTTTTCATTTTGTCTAAGGTGTCCCTGTAACATTAGCTTGAAGTCGAATGGAAAATTACTTTTGTCAGTAATGAAAATCATAAAAATGGGATGTTTAGTAACTAATTGATCTTTTCTTCATTCATTAGTTCACATTTAGTTCCCATTTCTTTTTTTGGAGTTTAATTTCTTTGTTACGTTGGTGACACATTGCCGTTACTCACACTTCCGTTTATTTTATTTCAAGCCAAAAGAATCTCAAACAGTAAATAGCAGCACCTAATGGCCCTCTAAGACATACCCCTGGGCAGTGTGTTGCAGTGGTTATTAACCCGAACCCAGAACTGTCTGTACCCTGGTCAAGTTTCCCATTACTCAACAGAACCATAAAAGTGGGTGGGGTTCTCTTGAAGGTGTGTAGTCATCACACAACTTCTCACTAGTATCAACAGTAAACCCACAAATAACAGAAGCAAGAAAGGAAGCTCTTCAAGTTCTGGTGTAAGTTTTATTGTGTTGTTTTATTGTTTGTTCATTCGTGACAGTGCGTGATTGTGTGTGACCAATCATTTGTCAGCACTGTTTTGAACTTGACCTATACATCTAGTGGCCAGATTGAGCATGGGTATTCAGATATTGGTCACTTGGCGATGGAAAGTGCTGTAAGGGCTTTAATGAATTTAAGTTCCTAGGTGTATAGATTTTGGATGTACTGAGAAGCTCCATTGTAGTACTTGAGAGAGAGAGAGAGAGAGAGTGTATGTGTGTGTTTCATTTATTTATATATATATGTGTGTGTGTGTGTGTGTGTGTGTGTGTGTGTGTGTGTGTGTGTATATATATATATATATATATATATATATATATATATATATATATATATATATATACACACACACACACACACACACACACATATATATGTGTGTGTGTGTGTGTATATATACAATCTCCCATGAGTCAGTATATCATGGAGTTGTCTAGGCTGCTCTACCCATCTCTGACTAGCTCTTGTCTCTTGCTCCAGTGAAATTACTCTGTGGGCTCGAAGCCTCCCAGGGTCCTGTACAGGAAGTGCTGTCGTCAGCAGCTGGTGTAAGTAAAGATGTACGTGACAGTAGTGAGGAGCTGGACTCAGAGGAAGGTGATGGCGAAGGCAAGGTGTCGCACAAGAAGAAAAACAAGAGACGTAAAGGTAATTTGTGAACTGCCTACGTCAGTGGTTCCCAGTGCTTCCATTTTAGGTGTTTTCAGTGCTCTAACACACTTGTTTCAAATAATAAGCAAATTAACAAGCCCTTCTCTAGTTGAAGCAAATATGTAACTAACGTTTGTGGGACCAGTGTACGACCAAGGGTGAGAACCATTGCCTTTGGTTAGAAATTATAGTTCATAAGTTTTTGCAGTTGGTTTTAATTCCCATCGCAATTTTGTAATGCTTACTTGCAACCAGGGCCCGTGCTAATTAGGGCTGTTTTTAAAATATCCATAAAGCAGTACACCATGAAGAAGCTGTTGGTGATATAATGGATGCTAATAAGAAAACCAATGGATGTCCAATAAAGAAAAACACCCTGAAATGTAGCAGCTGCTCTAATTCTTTATGTATGGTGTTCTATTCTGTGTTGCATCACTTGTTTATTGATAAATATCATGTGAAGTTGCTGCCAGTACCCAGCACTGGTTCTAACGTGGTTGTTGTATTTTTATTGTAGAAAATAGTGAAAGCACCGATGGAGAAGAGTATCCCATTGACATATGGCACGTTCTTGCTGCGTACATACGCCCTGAAGACGTGTGCAGGTTTGCCCTGATCTGCAAGAATGCCTGGGCTGTCACATGCACTGCAGCATTTTGGACTAGACTGTACAAGAGGTAACACAATTATGCTAAGTTATCCTTAAAAATAGCAGAGTTTAAAATTATATTTAGAAGAACTAATTTTACACTTTTCAAACTTTCAAAGCAAACACAGCTGTTCCTGTAGATTCATAACAAAGTTACTTAGCAGTAGGAAGTAAACCTGTTTACTGCTAGTGTACATGTGTAGGAGTTTTCTCAGGTTTTAACTTAATTTGGCTAACAATCTGATGACATGGCTGCCACAAATGTTAAATTGAATAATTAAAAAAAAAAAATGGAAAAGCCATTCTAATAACAGACCCATTTACCACTATTTAGCACTATGCTAGCTAGCAGGTTGTCGGTTGTGTTTATTAGAGAGAATAAACAGGTGTGCCGGCGAGGTAGCTGTCCACAGCTGTAGGATTCAGACTACATTGGCAGTTAAAGCAGATGTGGCTGAGTTTAACGCGTGCCCTGGTGTAAAGCAGTTTACCCCGCAGCGAATTTTTGGTCTACCAACCATGGCATTGCACCATGAAGGTCACTTAGGGTCATCTTTATGATGCAATAACCTGGCACCTCTTTTGTAAAACCATGTCAAAATAAAAGACCTTTGTTTTTGGTTATATTGCCTAACAATTGAGGAATTAAGAACTTGTGGGCAGGTTTTTCATGGAGTTGAGAACTTGCCTTATTTTGCTACATGGTTTTTATTTTGGTTTTCAAGCATAAAAATCATGCCAAACTACTTTTTTTGGAATTGTATATAACTAAATTTCCCTTTTTTGATAGTTTACTTAATCTACATATATGATTGGACGGTTGTACCCTGGCATTTTTAGACTTTGAGACAAAAAGAAGCTGCATGGATTTCATATAGATGCACTGGAAGTTTTTACATAAAAATGCACATCATATCTTAATCTATTCTTTACATCGATCATTATAAATATTGACCCTCACTCACCATCAACTGTTTTATAAGCTTTTATTAGCCAGATTGCCTCTTCTCACTGAAGTTTGGTAAAGAAGGCCTTTTAAAATGCATTGATGATTATTCAAATTTGGGCAAGTAATTTAAGCCTAATCATAGTTTTGAATGAAAATGACTTTTCAAATTAGGAACCACCCCAAGCTTTCACTTTTAATTAAGGACACAGTAAAAACAGTTTTACCGTGACTGAACGAGTGATACAACCACTGATAACTCAATCTCCCTTTCCCTCTCTCACAGACACTACAGTCTTGATGCAGACCTCCCCTCTCGCCTTCAGCCAGACTCCATTTCAAGGATGCGTTGTCTACGTGCCCGTGTAATCCGCTCCCTCTTTCATTTGTACGAGCCATTCAGCCTGCGAGTATCCATGTGTCCCCCCCTCCCTGAGTCTACTCCAACCACACTACTCAATTCCAAGGTTTGCAGCCAAAACAGTGTCACTTGACTCTACCAGTTGTCTTTAACGGTGTCATGAAGTCTACAGAGTGAATGATTTCCTCTCCTCCCCTATTGTAGTGCTTGCTGTTTTGGGTCAACAAAGTCTCCGGAAGTAGAGCTGAAACCATGTGGGAATTCAACTTCAAGTTTGTGAAGCAGGTACTATATACTTTTAGATTTATAACTCGACTCGAGTCACATTGCCACAGTTGGTGTTAGTTTGTCATTGTTGTCCTCAACTTTCAGCCAGCCAAGGTGAAGAACGGCTGTGACCAGGGACTGGAGCTGCCTAGGCATTATAAAGACGTCCTCACTAACCCAGACTCTGATTGCTACCTGTTGCGTGTCACCACCCTCAACTTCATCTTCACTTCCGTCGTCATGGGCATGACACTAACCATGGTGAGTGACATTGTATTGCTTGTTTTGCTGTAATTTATTTTTGAAGTGCAAATAACCCATTCTGATCACACCAGATCTATCAGAAGCCCCAAACACTAATGGGTGCCAAATACCGCTTAACTGGCTCCTCAACTATCTATGTACAAAGCTCAGATATGGAATGACTTATTTACATGTTCACAATTGGGTCCTGACCATCACTCCTGCAGATAATTATAGATTAAAATTTACATTTTGATGAATCAGCAAGGATAGGTTGGCATAAAGAGTGCATACTTTCAGTGTTCCTACTTTTTCATTTACAGTAAGAAACAGCCTGATGAGCATGCCCATGAGCGTTTATAGCCATGGTTAACAGAGAGCCCTTTGCTTAATAATTAGTTTTTACTCACCAAATTACCATCACAACAATAATGGTAACTTTCTCCCACGGTGGGTTTAATACAGCTAAAGCCACATATGATCAAAAACAGACTTTTAAAGCATGCAAGATGTTTAAGCTATGTATTTTGTATGGATTTAGCTTCTCTTTTAGCCTAGTTGCTAAAATAGGTGGTCAGCCCTTCAGTTTAAACAAGTATTTACTTTGTCAATTCTCAGTTTTCCAAGTGAGCAACAAGTCTATTAACAGCACTATAATCTTTAATGATTTGGCGCATTTATACAGAATTCAGTTGTGAGGTGGCCATAGGCCGTATGTGAATATGTAGGATTTTGGCTCAGCCAATCAGATTTTAGAAGTGTATGAAGGGTGTTTTTTTTTTTTTTTTAAATGCTTATTTTATATTGTTTAGGTTTTCTTTTAATCAGGTTACTTGATTGATCTTAAGCAAACATTGCATAGACTTTAATTTATTTGTTTCCATTCATATTGTTTTTTTTATTTTTTTATTTATTTATTTTTTCCAAGGAACTGGCTTGATTAATCCTCCAAATAATACTCAATTATCAATATAATCGATAATGACTGTCCTAATCCATATCAGATAAACAAACTTAATCAGATCCAACTGTTTGTCTTTCAGTTCACCATTAACGTGAGCACAGACATGAGGCACCACCGGGTGCGGCTGGAATTCCAGGACTCCCCCATGGTCCGGGGCAAGAAGTTGCGAGGAGAACCGGGCACTCAGGTGGTGCTGGACCCTGTCCACAGTGTGCGTCTCATGGACTGGTGGCACCCTCAGTACCCCATATCTTCATGCACTTAGATCAGCCACACTTAACCACAGTGGAGAATTAAGGCCTGCTTCCACCATTGCAAATCATTCTGCACTGTCTTTTCTCTGATGTTTTGCATTGTAGTGTGCTTGTTATGCAGTACTGCTTAGATCGTAGAGTCTCTAATTGTGCAGGTGGAAGCAGGCCTTATGTGCTTTGTTCTTTATTTATTTTATTTTTTTTTCCCTTTTGGGTTGAAGTTGCTCTTTAATGCTGGCATACAAAAAGAGCCCCGTCTTACCCGATCCTAACTACTCCAAGTGAAAGACTGGTTTTAGATCTATGCAAAAGGGCAACTTCCATCCGTTGTGTGGCAAGGCAGACAGGGCATTAAAACCAATAAGCTGGAAGGAAGAAACACAGCGTCTTTGCATGCACTCTTCCGTGCTTGTGTCGTCCCAGTTTTATTTGTACTGTTTAATCCAACCCTCAGGCTGTTGTAAATGACTGAAGATGTGTGCAAGAAAAAAAAGTATTCCTGATTCACTTCATAATGTATAGCGGGTCAGGTTTTTGACAGTAATTCTGTGTAGTGGCGTATGTATCAGTGATGGTATGTGCTCTGCCTGATGTTTAAGCTGAAGCAACACATGAAGTTGAAAACGGAACTAATATTAAGAGAAACTACAAACTTAAAGAGAAGTTTTCAAAGGCAGCAGATACCATCTTTCAGATATTCCACTGACCTCGAAAGGTCTGTCTGCAGAGCGCAAAAACTGAACTGGCCTTTACGAGCATGTTGAATCCTGTGTTTTTTAATTCAGTGGGGCAGCCCTCTTTTGGCGTAATGTAAACTACTTTAAGTAGCTTTTAGATCTGTGTTAGCTGTAGGGGCACAGGAGTTGCCGTTTTATAGACTTGAGTGTTTGCTTCATGGGGCATCTGAATGCAGCTTTCCAACTTCACAATCATGCATGTTTGGCTAATTAAATGGCGTGTGGATGAATGTACACAGAAGGCAGGTTTCTGTTCTCAGTATTTTTCATTAGCCTAGTGTCTTGTGTTTGAGAGAATATTTTTTCTGATTAACAAGGAAGAGCACCTGCAGTAGTGATGTCACTCAGATTTCTTTCTCATACGGGATGTGCCACTGGAATCGATTTTATGAGAGTGACAGGTACTTGACATGTTTATTGTAATAAATAAATCAACCTGTTAGTAATGTTTGTTTCCTTGATGAAGGCTGAAAAGAGAAATTCTGCCACCCAGTGGTGTCAGATGCTGTGTGGAGGGGAAAATGTTGGTGTTATATGCACTAAATTTAAAAGGTGTTAAAATAGCATACAGAAAATCTAAAGTGATTATCAGTGGGATACTAATGCAATGCTGAAAGCATTTTTGGGTAAACACATGGATGAATATTTTTGTTGTATTCAGTAAATTATTTTTTTTATTTAATAAATCACTTTAATTTGCTGAATTAAAGTCCTGCAATTTACTGAATTAAAAGTACACAGAAATGAAATTACAGCTGCATTTCATGACTTAAGGGGGAAATGTCGGGGGGTGTTCCACAAAAACATGAAATAAAGATTTTATTTTCTGGTTGTACATTGCTTGTTTGTAATTTTCAGGTGATTGTAGGTCTGTTGGCTGTGAAAGCTCACTGCAGCTAGGAAGTAGAGAAACATTGCACCTATACATTTTTCTTTGTTTCTGGGAGCAGCATGTTGACATTTTGATTTAGGAATTCAAAATTTTGATGTTGAAATAATGACTTTCTGAAAATTACTGTGTGGAAAAAAATACTTTCTGAAAATGTTGATGAAATACTGACTTTATTCTGTAGAAATGTTGGTTGTGTCCCTAAATAACTACTTACCTAATAATAATTACTTGATAATTAATAGTTAATTGCTTTAACACATGTACAGGGCGGGAATGGACTTCCATAGAAGGCACAGATAATACTCCCTGTGATTACGGCTGCCCTCTGAAGAGAGTACAACACGAAAAGAGGCTAAACAACCTCAAACTCAAGATTAACCTCAAATTATGAAACAGGATGATTGGATAACGTCACCGTGTAATACTTATCTACGTTTACTATAGAATATACGTTTCTATAAACCACTAGCTTTGAACGAACGCGTAATGAAACATTCAGCTCTCTCAAAAGTGAACAGTGCCGCGCAGCGTTAACTTCTTACAGCCGAACGAACTACATTTCCCATAATCCAGCTGCAGCGCTGTGATTGGTGGCCGCGCTGTCACAAGTGTGTACAGGTGACCGGGGAGCCTCTGCGCGAGGCGCACTAACATCGCAGAGCGCGGAAAGAAAACAAACGGCAGTAACAGACCGCTGCGACCCGAGTTAAAGTTGAGAAGTGGCGGCGGAGGACTCTGTCTGACAGTTTCACTTCCAGAAGAGGAGAGAAGGAACTGATACCAGCGCAGCTTTGAGACTCCTCAGCCGGCACAGAGCCTCGCGTCAGTGAAAAACCTGCTTCTAAACTTGTGTACTTTCTGACCTTCAGCGGGTAAGTGATAGCCCATTACGCCCAACTCCGGCTGTCCAAATAAGTCTGCTGTTCGTGAAGGGGCTTCATTTTATGTGTTATGTTTTAGGGCAGTTTAGGGGCTTAATTCCAGCTAGGTCTTTTTAAACAATTTAGAACTGCTTGCTAATCTTGCTACTTGCTAATCTTAAAAACGTCGTCAAAGTCGTTGTAACAGTTATTGGACTCGTTGACTCGCGTGGAAAGAGGCGACAAAAATCAAAACCGGACCAAACGTGTGGAAAAAAAAAAGAAAACTGAAAGGGTGAAATTCGCATTTAAAAATACGGGGACACTTTAGGTCCTATACGCATACGCTGTTTTTAATTCTTACATCTGGTCGAATCTGTGATTTACCTTGGTGTCCGTGTGGAGCGCTTGACCGTTCGCGCTAAGCCGTTTTGATAGCGATACTTGAGCCATGTCTCCTTGTTTAGCTAGCATTGGTGATACGCCTTATGTAACGCGAACTTTGCTGGAAAGCTCAGGACAGGGACCAAATAGAGCGCTAGTGTGGAGCCAGAGCCCCAACCGACCGCCTCTCTTGCCCCCCGCCCTCCACCCTCCAAAGAGTTACCAGCTCTATTTACACACAATGTGTAACAGAGTTATTTCTGTCCCTCCTCAGCAAGGCCTGTGAAAATACTTAGTCCTGGCGCTGGCTAAGACAGGAATGTGTTTGACAACATATTGGGAAATCAGGACGTAGGGGCTGCAGCAGAGGGACTGTGGCATCGACAAAGTAACGTTGCACCATAAGGATTGTCAATATAGTAAGCTTTATTGGCGTGACCACCTTTAGTTACAGTAATGCCAGATGATAATATAAAGCTTGCACTATAAGGACTGTAGCAATGACAACATAAATGGACCTACATAGAATAAGACAAGATGTGGTGCCTTTAATTCAAATAGACGTCAGAATAATCCTTCAATATCTTGGTATATTAAAAATCCATTGAAATCTAGCAAATCTGTATAATGAGCTCATTATAAATGAACTACATGAACTATTTAGCCAGTCCTTCATAGAAAACCAACAGAATTAGAATTCTCTTTGTTTAAACCACCTTTCACATTTAGTCAGGTGTGGAGTGATTGAGGTATGTTGTCTTGTATAGTGAGAGCTGATAACATCGAAAGCTTGGAATTAATCCTCTTTGTTCGTAGTTGTTTAACGTCCTTCTGCAGTTGCTTAGCGGTCAGAATCTTGAGCATAAAAAAGCTTGAGGATGTTTGTGTAATTTGATTAATGCAACAATGCATGTGTGGGTAGACAAGTCCAAAGGTCACATGAGGTCTGTCGGTCCGTCTAATCCAGCAAATTGGGGTCAGCTGAGGTGCGGTGTGAAATTTGCGAACAGTGATTTGAGAGGTTGTGTTCTTTTCAGGAAGCGTGACGTAATTTCAAAAAGTTTGACTGAGCCTGGATGAGACTGCTGCAGTGTAAATGTGCTTGATTTATGTCAGATTGAAGCCACACATATTAGGGGTGGACGATGTGAACTCAGATGGGTATTAAGATGTTCTTCATTAATGAGACAATAACGAGATATCATGCTATACCAAATAATAATAATATAATTTTCAGAGCTGGGATGATGAGCCATTTTGAAAAATCAATAAATCCAGACACAATTATTGATGAAGATCAATTTGTCATTATTTAAAACATGAAGCAGAGCATTATTACTACTACAGGTACCATTACTAGTACTACTATTAGTAATATTGGTAGAAACAACGATTATTTAATAATCAGAGCTAAAATGGAAGTTTATTCCCAATCAAGAAATAATAACCTGTTAGGCTTGTGATATTGTGTGCAATATGGCTCATAATATCCCATCACACCCCCTAGCCATTCCTGCTTGATTTTAGTGTCACCCACCATGTAGGGGTAATTTAGGGGGGGTTGGCTGCTTTCCAAAAAACAGACAGTTCCTAACTAGGTGGGCAATATGATGATATTTTATCAGTTCATCATTCATACCCAATGAACACTGACCAACTACATGTTAGTCAATTAGTAGTTCAAGTGGATTTATGTAAATCACTGTATTCATAGTTTTCCATGGCTGTTTTAAATGTGGCATTACTAGTGTTTTGTGTCTGTGTGTTAAATAATTGTGATACATATTGTGTATCATGAAAATGTCTTTAAGTATCATGATATGGTATTTTTGCTGTATCATCCACTCCTGTTCCTTACTCTAACTTTCATGCATGTGCTTCTGGTCAGAAACCCGCAAGCTACTTTACTTTTGGTTTGGTAGTTATTGCGATAGTTTGGTATTTCTTACTGTAGGTTTAATAAGTCACATCTTCATTTGGTGAGATATTCCGTGCATGGAAGTGTGCGGCGTGTTTAGCAATCATGACCGCATTAAGCTGCCTCACACTTCTTTCAGCAAAAAACAAATCAGGGCTGCTATGGCACATAGACTGCATATTAAAAGAAAAAGAAAGATTATGAGACTAATGATTTGCTTTTGTGCATCTTAAAGGCATTTTTCTAACATTTAAATTGTCCAACTTGATGGCTGTTGCTATAGATGGAATCTATTGGCAATTGCCAATACTGACGTTGGTGAGCTAAGGCCTTTAACCTGTGGCAAAGTGTAAATAGTATGGTTTTTTAAAAGTGTGTTATGCTTTTTTTGAGTTTATAAGAATCGTATAAACAGTTCAAGTACAGGTTTAAGTTGTATTACACAGGGCTGTTTGTGGTTCACCACTATTTGGACTTGTTACAGTATCCACAGTGATGAAATTTATATCAAGAGACAACTTCACACCAGTGTTCACTTTTATACAAGTATGCACACACATGCATTAAGGGTGAGACACTTGTTTCTTCAGCCAGCCTACGGAGCGTTTTTGCATATTTCGGTCGTACTAGACCGAGGCAATAGGAAAGTCTAAGGTGCCAGAAAATCAAGTCTCAAGGCTCCGACCAGCTATGCTACCCAAAGCCACTGTCCATATCTATCCTGTGATTCTGGTAGATAAGCGCACTGGGCCAAGCATAGCTACGGCTAGCCCACAGACCGATTCAATCACATGTGTTGACAAGTCAGGCTGGAATTCATAATCCCCGCACAGAGTGGACGACAGCCGTGTTTGTTTTGATGTGAGTGAGTGACTTAAATCAGATAGCCCTTTAACATGCCGCACGCCCAGGTAAAAGGTAACTAGAGTGCACATAGGATGTGATGAACACATCTGTCTCTGTTCGCAGGTTTATTTAAGCCGGCATCTTTCTTTCCATCCCGGGCCACTCCAACCCCTTGTTCTTGGTTGAACATAAACCACACAGGCGCTAATACAAAATGTGATATTTCTCACGTCTGATAACAGCCGTTTGTTCCCCTTTTGCTGAGCGTCGTGCTTTCAGACACATTAAGTGCACCAGATCAGATTTATGGGTTATTGCAAAGCTCTTTCTTTAGTAGACTTTTAGTTTGACCAAATTTGAGAGATGTTTAAAAGCTACTGGATCATCTTATGACTACTGTTATTATAATTTGAGACCGGTTTGGTGTTATTCATGCTGATTGCTCTAAAAAGCAAAGGAAAAGAACAATTTTAGGATCACATTTCTGACACATTCCTAGCTGTTTTATAAACTGACACCTTTTACAAGGCATTAATTTTTAATGTGAGGTAAATTAGAACAGATATTGTACCCAAAGTCCTGCTACATATTCATGATTTGTATTAATAGCAGGGTCCGTGCATTAAAATCCACATGTGAATTTGATATAAATGGATAAATTAAGTTGTGTATAACCTTCACCCAATGTCCTGCTTCAGTTTTTGACACAATTCTGCTGCTCAGCAGCTAATTATTGTTGTGAAATCTCTCATTATAACACTACCCAATGTTGAATCACACCGATGTGTGCATTGCACATTGAGGAAGTCCCGAACAGTGCCTTTTTTGCAAAAGATCTTAGTAAGACTCTCTGTAAAATGGCCTTTTCCTGTAAATGTGCAACCTGTTTTGGTTCCTCTCTGGTTGTCTCTGCTCTGGCACCACAGGGCGATACT